ATATTTTTACATAAATAAAAATATTTATATATTGACATGTATGTATACAAACATATGTTTTATATGCATTTAAATATTTATATATTTTGCAACGTTAGCAAATTCAAATCAAAGGTCAGCAGGAGACTAATCTCTAAATGTTTAATCTCTTAAGCTGCTTTAAATATTTTAAACTCTTTCGGATTTACGCCAATTTTACATGTGATTTTCCCTTAGCTAAATAAACTTTTTTGTATTTAGTTAGAGACTTTGTAAACAGCATTTAAATATGTAAAACAAATATAATAAAATGTGCAGTGAGCACAGGCTATCTCATTCAATAAACACAATTAATATTTTGATCAATGTTCCAGTTGATGGATTGATAAACAGTTGCTCAATTTTAAACACGATTTCACTTGCTCAACAAATGAAGTGAAATACATTTTGCATTATATAAAGTAAAATAAACAAATAAGTAAAATTTAAAGAATAAATATACATACACACATACATATATGTATATTTATATATTCAGCAATTACTGTAACTCTGACGTATCACATTTTCATTCATATGAATTGTTTCTATATAAATATTTGTTTATGTATGAATCAAATAGGCTTTGTAATTTCGTCCAAGACCTGACGAAGTTGATGGCTTCCGGAAGGGGCAACACCAATCAATGACGCCTTAGCGTGAATTTGAATCATGGACAAGCGTCAGAGCTGCACTGATAATGCCTCTGACAATTTCTGTCGATTGCTGAGTGTTATCTTGGCCTGGCCTATCAGCTAAGTGAATGGCTAGAAAAAGAGCTGACTTCTTTGTGGTTTATGGACATTGTCAAGCTGTCTCAATTACTGGAAGGCGCCTGTCAGCCAATACCTGAAATGTTTTGAGCTCATCCTCCTCGGTTTGCGGCGACGGCTTCTTGCCGTTGCCCACCCACAGCCGCAGCTTGGGCCCCTTGTGCAGCCGTCGCTCGTAGAGGCTGTGCGTCTGGCGATCGAATGCGAATACCTTGGGTCGCACCACAGCCACATCATGGGTTTCCTTTGCCTTGGCATCCTGCAGCTGTGTCAGCTTCACTCTGTCCTCCAGCGTGAGGTTGTTCAAACGCAATGCCTGTGTGTCCAGATTGCGTATGGCCTCGACTATTTCCGGCTGCATAATGCGGCCCACTCCAGCAGCGCTGCCAGCAGCAACGCCACCGCCGCCACCTGGACCACCACCACTGGCGCTGCCACCGGCGAAGGCCGTGCTCAATGACCTTGTGCTGCGTATCAGTGGCGTCATTATATCCCTGCCCTCGGCCGCCTCATTTGCGGCGTACTCCCGTTCCATTTCCTCGGGCGTTTTGCTGGAGTTGCTCGGCAACGAGGCCAACGATGCTGGCGTTGGCGCTGGCGCTGGCGCTGGCAATGACAACGCAACGGGCACTGGCGCTGCTAATAAAATTTCACCGTCAGCCACCTTCATTTCCGAGGTCGGATTCGCGTCGAGCACTTGGCGGATGCTGCCATTTGTCGCTGTTTGGTTGCCATTGCCATTGCTGCTGTTGCTCTGGCTCTGGCTGTGGCCGTTGTTGCTTGTCTCTAAATCCGAACTATTTGAATTAGCTATTCTATCAGCGCTTATCAGCCGGTTCTTATCGACGTCATCAGCGGACGACGTCGTTGCCGTCGTCGTCGTCGTTGTCGTCGCTGTGGCTGGCGCCTGTTGCTGCTGCTGCTGCTGCTTTCGTTGCCGTTGCCGTTGCTGTTGATGCAGCTTTTTATTGGCATTTCTATCGAGCGGCTGATCAGCGGCCCTAGCTAATTTAGCATTTGCTGGCGCAATGACATAGCGTTCCGCATCAGAGTCCACATCCAATTCATTTGAATGGCCGGCCGCGTTTCTGGTCGACGTCGACGTCGACGACGACAGCGACACCGACGACGATGATTTGGTGCGAAATATTTTTGGCAAACAATTGCGCATTCTGCTAATTATACAATAACACTCACACTCGCACACTCACTCGCTCTGCCCAGCTACTTCACAATATCAATACGCACAACAAAAGCACTTGACACTCGACGCGACTCGACGCGACTCTCAAGCAATGCTCCAAATGTCCTTCTATGCCTGCAGCAGCAGCAGCAGCAGCAACAATAACAACAACGTTAACCTGGGCAGAGCACTTGCGTAAGCAACCGAGCGGCACATATTATGGCCAAGAGATAAAAGTAAAAAAAAAAGTAGATATTGAAATGTGCGTGTATCGAACTGCGAAGATTTCCACTTATCAAATTGAGATTTAATTAATCCAGTCGAACTAGTCTCCGCAATCCGTGCGGCTATGCAGGGGCACTGCGCCGTCAGTCGTGAGTTATGGTCGGTGTCTAGAAATTGAATATTTCACAGGTTTGTTTTGCGGTCGAAACGCGACTGACTGACTGGCTGACTGAGCGAGTGAGTGAGTGAATTGGCTCGACAGTGGGGCGACAGCTACGAGTAGCTAGCTGGCAATGCGGCGGGTTAATCTATTTCTTTACTTTTTGATTTCCCACCTTCAATGTTAATTGATTTGATTTCTCTGGCGGCACATTGTTTATGTGAGACTCAATGGCAAATAACCGCACACACACACACACACACACAGTCAAGTTGTTCTCTTTCACACACACACACACGTACACACTCATACTCATACACGCTTCTCAGCCAGTGTAAATGAGCGGCTATTTAAAGCAGCGCAGCTGAGCAAAATGTAAAGCAACAGCAGGAGGGGAGGAGTGTGTAAAAGGGAAGCAGAGAAAGAAAACGTACTTTGGCGAGAGCTTCCATCATATAACGAACGATGATAAGATATCTTATCAAAGACGTAACACACATGTGCGTTGTCGACCACAAAAAAACGAGAAAAAAAAAACCAAAAAAACAAAAACGATGGCCCAGGGCCAGCGAAACAAGAGTGGCCAAAACAGCCATTTAATCAGCATCATCACAAAGCACACGACTATCTATAGCAGGAGTACTTATGTGTATGTATATGTATATGTACATGTGCTATTTAGGCTCACCTGATACACGTCCATTGAGTCATCCTCGGGCGTCAGTGCCAGCGCCAGTGAGGATTTGCGATGGCCGGGACGACCGCCGCCGGAGGAGCTGGTGCCTGATGTGCCAGTGCCTGCAAAGACAACAAAAACGAGCAGAATGAAGAGAAAATCATATTACGGCTTCAGCTAAGATTGCACCAACAGCGAAGCGCTGAAAAGCATGCTACATTATTTTGCGTGCGCGAGCAAAAGTGTTGCCTACTTTTAGGTTGACATTCGCAACCGACCGAGCGATAGAGAGAAAGTGAGGGTGAGGGTGAGTGTGTGAGAGTGAGAGCGTGAGTGAGAGCGAGATAGCCATTGAGAGATACTATCAAACGGCAGCTGAAGACTACCGCCGCCCATTCATATCTTCAGTCTAGTCTAGTCGCACGTTTTATTTAATTATAAGCGCTGGCATTTCAACAAAACACTTTATAACAGGCACACGCACGTTCGGCGCCCCCAAACCAATAACCCGCCTCCTCCTTCTTCTTCTCCTCCTCCTCCAACAGCTGCTGTGGCTGCCAAGACAATCCGCTTACCCACTAGCAACTCGGACTCGGAGGCCGGGCGTGTTAATGAAGCTCTATGTGTAGTTGTTGTGGCTGTTGTTGTTGTTGCTGGTGTTGGCGGTGGTGGTGGTGGCGGCGTTGGTGGTTTTTCTGCCTCCATGGCATGCGTTTGCATTTGTCTGGCCGCCCTGCCCATCATTAGACCAACGCCTGCTCCCGTCGCCGCGCCTTCGCCTTCGCCCACGTCCACGCCCACACAGCTGCAATCGCTCTCAACGCCTTCCTCGCTCATGTGGGCCGATGATGTCCCGGAGAGGTTCGCTGGCTGGCTAGATATAATCATTGTTTGGCTTTTAGCCGTTGCGGTTGCTGCGCGGTGATTTTGTGTGTTTCTCGTTGTTGTTGTTGTTGTTGTTGTTTTATTGCTTTTATTTTATTTTATTTTTTTTCTCTGCGTTTTCCGTTCCTTTTTTTTTTGGGATTTTTTTTTTTATTCGCTGACTTTGCAAATTAACTACAAATATTCAACATAATTATCGCTTTTGATTATTTTCGTGGCACTATGTTAATTTGTCATTTATTTTGTTGTAGCTGCTGCTGCTGCTGCTCGACTATTTGGCTGCCCGACTGCCCGAGTGCCCGGCTGCTCGTCTGTTTATCTGGCTGCGCTGGCATTGATTTCAGACAATTAGTGCGTAATGATAACCTGCTCCACATGCATAACTATGTGTGCTCCATAATATCTATGAGTATTTATGAACAAAAATAGCCCTGAAACATAAACATGCGGGACGCAACGCTGCGGCTAGTACACGGCCCCTGCTCATATCATTTTATATATATATTATATATCTATATAAATTTATGTGTGTATGTGTGTGTGTGTGTGCACTTATGTATATAGAGAAAATATTTGCGTATATTCAAATAAATATATGCTGCCTGCCATGGCCTGGCTTGGCCTGGCACGGCCTGGCCTGTGTGTATCTTATCGTTGTTAGCGTCCGCTTGCCTCAGTTGCGCTGGCTAGCGGTACGCGTTGTAATCTAAACGAAAATCGATAAATTGTTTAGATAAAAGCCACAGCAGCAGCAGCGGCAGCAGCAGCAGCCGCTGACGTTGCCAGCAATAATAAGCAACAGGGTTTGGTTTTGGCTTTGGCTTAAACTTTCGTTGTGGCCAGGCTCAGATATTTGCTGGCCATATTTAATTTTCATTTGAATCTCAACTATTTGGAGAGCACGCACACACACACACACACACACCGAGACACACACACAAACACACACACACAGTAATACTTAAATCTAAAGTGTCTCTTGATGATGAACGGCAGCGGAAATGGCGCCAATGGAACTGGAACTGGAACTGAAACTGCCTGCAAATACTTACAACACTTGCTCACATTAAGGCTCATGTTACACACGGACACACACTGGCAACAGTTGCTGGCTCATTAGTGTGTAAAGTGTACACAAGTTGTGGCTGTGCGGTAACGGCAACGGCAACGGCAACGAGGGGGTAGGGGCGGCTGGGGGGGTGCTGTTGAAGGCAGTTGAAGGTGCGCTTGATTTTGATCGATTAGCACTTGGCTTATTTACGAGTATGCAGCATGGCCACGACGCTGTGCAAACACTGCGGGCTATATTAAAATTTAACTGCTCGACAAACAGGAGCACAGTTACGGCGGAGGCGGATACGGATGCGAATACGATGGCGACTGCCGTTATTTGCGTACGGCAAAAGGAAAATAAACGAGAGCAACTTCAATGAAAAACTCAAATTGCAGTTAGTCAAAGTTAAATTAGGAATCCGTAGCAACAACACACAGCACAGCACAGCACAGTACAGTAGAGAGCGTAACGGGCCACTGGTTGGCACTGACTAGACCTGGCCAACGGCAAAACGTCCGCACTAATCCGTTATGAAAAACTGTTTGCCAGATGATAATTCTCGCACGGATTCTGAAACCCGGCAGCGACCGCACCGAGCGCTACACGCCAAACGCTCGGCCTTTTGGCCACAGTCAAGAAGTTTTTCTATTAACTGTGAATTGGGCTTAAAGCGTGACAGCTCGACTGCAATTGGAGAACATCGAGAGTTCTATTAATAATTCAAATTAATTAAAAGTGAGATAAATATCTATGTAAAGCAAAGTTCTTGATTGGAATTGGCGAAAGTAAAGAGGTCTTTTAATAATTAAATTCATTTATAATTGAGAAATATAGCTCTGTATGTGTATATAATAGGTTCTATTTAAACAAAAGTTGTTGTATGGAATCGGAGAAAATTAATTATTTATAATTATAAAGCTATAAAGTAAATTCAATTTAAATAGAAGTTGTTGGTTCTCAGCAAAAAATAAATAAATAAATAACTAATGTAAGAGCTCAATTAATAATTTAAAATTGATGTGAGTATCTATTGAGTTTATTCTCAATCTAAAATAAA